TGGCCGGAGGCTCGTCACTCGGCGGGGAGGGGTCCCAGGCTGGTGGAGAAGTGGCGCGCCTCAGCGGGTTCGTTTTGCGTGGATTACGAGAATGCTGTGTTTCCTCTGCCGCCCTGTCACTGGAAAATGGGAGGAGGGTCTTGATGTGGGGGCTCTTGAAGGAGGGAGTGAACTGCTTTAGAAAGGAGGGCACTGAAACAGTTGCAAAGAGAGATTTACGATCGAAATTTTCTGAGGAAGCTGAGAGGTCAGAGAGGTAGGCAAGGACAAAGGTCACTGAGGACCCAAATGTCACGTCAGAGTGAGAGGAAATGGACAGTGAGTGGTGGGAACGTGAGGTTAAGGGAGTAATTCTATAAACTGGGCCCACTGTGCTAACCTTCTCTTTCCTTTTTAAGATGCAATTTACCTGCCTCCCTGCCTGGCTTAGGTTGATGGGATTTGTTACCTTCCTCATCAAACTGCCAGTCATCTGCAGGAGAAATGCAGGCCCCAAATGCTGATATGAAGAGCACGAATTATACTGAATTGGGAGATTTTGTGACTGTTGTGTACACTAGAATCTGGAAGTCAGGATGATAAGGATAATTCCTCTTGAGCACAAAATCTGTAAGAACAGGGTTCAATTAGAACAAGTCAACATGGACCAAAGTGATCTAGAGGTACCGTGTGCAACTAGCTTGGAAGGTTGATATCATCCTACCGTCAGTCAAAAGTCAAGATGTGATCCTCAGCAGGACTGTCTGGAAACTTCCCTGGGACCCCTCCCCACCCACCCATTAAAGGAGGACAAGAGAGACATACTTCCTCTGCTTCTGAAAGAACCCACTCTCTCCCTTGAGAGTGTCCCCTTTTCCCCTTTCCTATTCCCTCTAATAAACATATACTTATTACTCTGAGTGACATGTGGGAAATCTTTCTGGCATGATGGCAACAATCAGGGATTGAAGAAGGGGTCTCCTCAGTTACATGGCAGGCCCCAGCCCTATAACTAGAGCCTTGGAGTTTCTGAGTGCAATGCAAAAAAATTAAATGGATGCATGATACCATATAGTGTGTACAAACCCCTAAGGGCCATGCCTGACACATGTTAAGTACCTCATAAATATTAACTATGGTTAGGAGCCCCTCTTTTATTCAGCAACTCAGTTTATTCCTTATTTCTCTCATTCTGATATCAAGAAGAGTCTTGAGATTTTTACCAAAATTTTCTCAAAATCCCATTTTAATTGGGTCTATGGCTGAATTCTGAGATCTGATAAATCCAATCTTTCAGTGTTTCTCAGGGAAAAGTAAGGGATCTGTTTAGGGAAGGATGTGATACCAAAAGTTAGAATGAAGACATCTGACTGGATCCAAATGAAACTGTTGGTCTTTAACTCCTCAGTCTCCTGAATCTCATTTGTCAGTAGCTGTAGTTCACTTTCCTGAATCTGAGGAAACTAGTCATTTTTTTTTTTTGCTTAGAATTTTGTTATTGAACCATCTGAGATAGATGTGTTGACAGGTGAAGTTCATATTTTTCATGATTATTAATTACCCACCGTGGCCACTAGACATAGCTAAGTTGAAATCTATATGCTCCAGAGGATAGGTACACATCATGACCTGGGGGATAATTGTTTACACATGAGAAAAATTGAAAGAGTCTGCTAATATATAGTCAGCAGAAACCTTGGAACTATACTGGGGAGAGGTTTTTGCAGATATTAGATTAAGAGAGCAGGGAATTTTAAATTAGGTAAAATTCATTAATGGATACATTCACTAGAGATTGCAGCTGGAGCTTACTTGCTTGGTTGGCTGAATCTTGTACTTAAAGTGGCCTACATTTAATGAAGTTTAGATGCCAGAGTTTTTCTGGCATAATATGAAGAAAAGAACCCAAAAGCTTGGGAAGATATGCATGTTATAATACATTTATCATGTATGAACTGCAGTCTAATCTCCCAAAATATTTCACAAGAAGGTTCCCAAAGCCCTCCCTTCACTAAGGCATTGAGAAATATGTTGTGGGAGACTTGCTTGCACACCTGTAAAGGTTTGTGATTTTGCCCTCTTTCATAGGCCAGGACTATCCAATGCATGATACCACTAGTGAGATGAGTTCCTGACTGACAAGAATGAGATTCTAAGATTATCAGAGACTTGGTGGTAGCATTTAAATTCCAAAGATAATATGGGCACATTTCCCATAAAGAGCAGCTTGGATAGCCTAGTAATCAGAATGCCTTGATCTACAGGTATTTTTGACTAATTGAGTAGTAACCCTAAGAGGAATAGGTAGGAGGCTTAAGCTTTATAATAGAAGAAATTCTAGAACTAACACTTTAAACTCTGACTTGATTTGCCACAAAGGAAGAGAACGAAAGTGTTTCCAGTTACCAGCCAAGGGTTAGTATTTCAAGCAGAAGTTTCAAAAGATAATTGTCAGGCCTGCTATAGTAAATCTTTTTTTTTTTTTTGATCAGGTGATAAATGGAATCTTAATTTAAGCCAATTCACAGTGGGCCCAATTGCTCAATGGATGTCCTCAGTTCCTGAATGTATAATTGGAATTGTATACTTGACAACTGGCAGTGTCCATACCTTAGCTCTCTGACCCATAGGGAAGCTCTATTATAATAGAAAAGCATAAGTAGAACTCTCTAAAATGTCCTTGTAAAGATAGTAAACCAGAAGCAATACTTTATTCCTGGGGAGCTGGAGATGAATGTCATCATCAAAGCCTATAAGAAGCAAAGGTAGCCAGACCTATTCCATCCCGTTTAATTCGTCTGCATGTCCTATGAAGAAGTGAAGTACATCCTAGAGACTGGGTGTCATTTGTCATGAACATAGTCAGTGGAGACTTCAACTGTAACAACTGGCCTGGCTGATGCTCTTTTTCTTTTTCTATCTTTTTTTTTTTTTGTCCATACCAATTGGTAAGGGCAAATTGAAAACGAAATTTGCATTTACTTCACACTATCAACAGCACATATTCAGTTTTGCCTCAGGCCAAGTAAGTTCTTCTGTCTCTTGCCATAAGAAAGTTGTTCACAGACATCTTGATCATCCTGACAATCCCCAAACATCCCACAATACATGTCTACTACACTTACAACTTTATACTGGTTGGATCTGATTTGCAAGATATAGTAAGAACTTCAAGTAACTGATTAAGATAAATGCAAACTAGCAGGTGGGAGATGAATCCCACCAAAAATCAGGGCTGTTCACTTTGAAGTTTCTGAAGGATTAAAGATGTGAAGCATATACATGGATCCCTTTCAAGGGGAAAGACAAGCTCCTGCATCATTGTCATTTACCATGAAATAATAGGCATGACACTTGTTAGGGCTGTTTGAGTGTTGAAGACAACATATTTCCATTTGAGTGTACTACTTCAAGCCAACTAGAATGTTACCAGTAAAGCTGACAGTTTTGCGTGGGAAATTCAGTAAGAGAAGATTCTGCAGCAAGTTCAGGGAACAGTTCAAGGTGCTGTCATAATCAGTATATCCACTGATCTTAAGAATAACTGTGGCAAAACTGGGGTGTAACTTAGTGGTAGAGTGCTTACCTAGCATGCATAAGTACCCAGGTTCAATTCCTAGCACTGCAAAAAATAAAACCAACCACCCAAACAAACAAACAAAAGTCTATGGCAAATAGAAAAACTGCCTGGTTCCTTTGTCAACGCCACTGTGAGAATCATAACACAGATTGCTAAGATATTATCACAAATATATGCTCTCTTTAGCACATACCTTATTATTCTTTTGAATCTTCTAGATTGCTCCCAGGTCTTGGTGGGAACTACACAACTAACAATGGAACATATGGCCTATGAACTGCATGTTCTCTGAATCTCCTTATTAGTTTCCTATAGCTGCTGTAACAGATTATCACAAACTTGGCAGTTAAAAATAATAAATTTATTTTTTTACAGTATTGACAGAAATCTAAAATCAGTATCACTGGGTTGTAATCAAGGAGTTAGAAGGGCTGTGCTCCTTCTGAAAACTCTGGAGCAGAATGCTTTTCCTGCTTGGTTTAGTTTTGTTGTTTCAGCTTCTGGTAGCTGACAGCCCCCCTTGGCTTGAAGCTTTTTCACTCCAGTCTCTGAGTGAGATCTTCAAAGCTCTCTCTACTCTGTACTCACAGTACCTTCTCTGTTGGGTATGTGTCTTAAGGATTCATGTGTTTGCATTTAAGGACTATCTGAATAATTTAGGATAATCTCCCATACCTTGAACTTTAATCACATCTGAAAATAACTTTAACTTTTCCATGTAAGATAACGCTCATAGGCTTCAAGGATTAGAACATGAATATCTTTGGAGGAGCCGTTTTTTTGTCTCACCATACCCACATAGACATGAGATGGCATGTGTGCATCATTAAATGGAAGATCAATTTTGGGCTATTCTAGAAAGGGAAAATAAATTATTTGTACTTATGGACTAAAGTTTGTAGCTTGATTCAAAATCCTTTAACACTGCCAAGTGCAGTGATGCATGCCTACAATCCCAGTGGATCGGAAGGAAGAAGCAAGAGGATTGCAAATTCAAAGGCAGCTTCAGCAATTTGAGAAGGTTCTGAACAACTTAGTGAGACCCTGTCTTAAAATTTTAAAAATGGGCTGGTAATGTGCTTCAGTGGTTAAGTCCCACTGGGTTCAATCCCTTACAATCCCTGGTACAAAAAAAAAAAAAAATCCTTCAACACTGAAACCCATTGCAATATCTTCCCACATTCTGTCCTTGCCCATAGCCTCCTTGAGGAGTTCATTATAACCAGTTGACCGAGGAAGAAACAAAGTTGAGCCTGGTTTATAAATAGCTATGCAAGGTATTCTTCACCTTCACCTATTCTTCACCTGCCCACCTGAAAGTGGGCAGCTGGATTACTACATACTACCCAGAGGCAACTCTGAAAGATAATGGTGAGTAAAAGTATTCCCAGTGGTTGGAACTTCAAATGGTGCTTTTTTTTTGTCTATTTTATCTGTAATGAGAGATGGACAAAAATAAATTATACTATTTGTGGACAGTTTCTAACAGGCTGGATGCAACAGATTAGTGACAAGGAAGTCTGCAGAAGTATGTCAATGGATGTTTCAAGGGAGAACAGGAAGTGGAAGATATTTTTGCCCTATGTGAATGCCCATGAATGAGTTTCCACTGCAGAGGCAGTTCTTAGTGATCAGACGGACATGATGATGCCCTCTTTGGGGGTCACCACTCACACAATGCTTCTTCAACAAGCAGAGGCTATCTATGAGCTTAACAGTATGGTCTTCCCCTTACTACTGCTATTTCTTTACACCTAATCTGCCAACAAAACAGACCAAAATTGAGATCCTTCTATGCCACCATTTCCTGAAGAAGACTAGTTAGCAACCTGGTAGATACATTAGACCTCCATTATGGAAGGTGCAGTCACTCTCGGTGGAATAAACACATATTCTTGATGTGATTTGCCTCCTCTATTCAGAATGCTTGTGACACTGCTACCATTTCTGAGTCACAGAGTACCTTATTCACTATGGCACTTCACAAAACATTGCTCCTGATCAGTGTTCTCATTTAACAGCAAAAGGAGTGAAACAGTGAAATAATGGGCCCATCTCTGTTGAATTAACTGATCTTTTTCATCATCACCTATGAGAAACTGACCTAACTGAATGGAAGATTGGCTCACTGAAGGTGCAGTTATAGTGCCAGATTGTGATAACACCCTGAAAAGACAGATATGTCTTAAGGTATATGGAATTTGCTTTGAATCAGAAATAATTTATGGTGCTGTCTGTTCAATGGACAGAATACATGAGTTTGAGATCAAGGGGTGAAAGCAAGAGTGCTTTCTTTTAATATTCATCTAATAATTCACTGACAGAACAATTACT